ACACGATCTTCTGCTTTAGGTGCCGTCTGGAAGTCTGTATCCATGTTATTGACAATGTCAGTTTCAGTGTTCTCTTCCGGGTCATGACCTTGACACACCAGTACTTTACAGTGGACTCTCTCGGCATGATTGAAGAACTCCAACCGTGAGAAAAAGCATTCACAACATGAAGTGCACCTGTAGTACATTAACGTCTCACTAGATGGAGCCATTACGCATTCGGGTAATAAGTAGCAAGTGTAACTTCCACAACACTACTCAAGCTCAGCTGCAGGCTTTGCTAACAGGGATCCATGACGCTTCTAGTCTGTTTTTGGCAAATATGATCCTACAACATAAATACAAGTACATGTACTACATGACAAAAAGGCCTGATCGGGAACACATCACGTCTTGAAGTGACAGCATTTACTAGCTAAGTTACTAACCCAACTGGTAAATTTTTGGTGCAATAGTTAAAGCACAAAGGGTCGTGACTGAGAGGTGCTATATAAACGAGAACTATAGGATGCTTGGAAAATGTAAAGAAAAGCAGACTCTGATGAATATTCAATATACGGGAAAGTTGGGATGTTTGTTGCGAAAGTCAATGTTGCATTCTACCACTAAACTGGTGATTTTGGTAAGTCACCTATGATGGATAGGTATTACGCATGAACATCGATGCACACACTAGCAAACACGCATAAGAAGAAATGCAAGAAAGACATTTCAGACTGCAGACTTAATATTGTACACAAATGTATGATTTACAACCAATGGCATAGCTCTTACATGCAGGCTAACAGTTAACTGCAAATTCTATAATCAATAAATAATATGCAGTTTGGCTTTATACATAAAATTATTTTACTAACTCATTACACTTTCACTATATCACTAACCACATATTTCATTGCATCAAATGATAGTGATACTCATAATATTCTTTATCTAAAACTATACATCAACGAGCATGTTGATAACATCCCTCTGGTTTTACTATGCACATTTCTCTACCTGCTATACACTCAAACAAGTAAAGTCTTGCAGGTATGTCAAGCATTATTTTTTGGTTTCCTTTTACCGGCGATTTCTAATTTTGCAGGCAGTGAGCTGATGCCTTCGATAATTGCTCGGATGGTTAAACGCGGAACCACATTTACACACGTATGGTTTCTCTCCCGTATGAATTTTCCTGTGGAAAGCTAGTCCCGAGCAGTGTGTAAATGCTGCGGAGCACACGGTACACTTGTATGGTTTCTCTCCGGTGTGAGTTCGCTGATGACTTATCAAGCTTCCGTACTCACGGAACGCTGAGGGGCACATTGCGCATTTGAACGGTTTCTCTCCTGTGTGAATCCTCAAGTGTTTCTGAAGATACGATTTGTGTTTGAGACTCTTCTGGCAAATTGGGCACACAACGCTATCCTTTACTGCAGCTTTACTGGGTGATTTTACAGTTGCTCTCTGTTGCCCCATCAGTCTGTGTTTGCCAGGTAAAGACTGACCAAGCCTATTACTTGTATTCCAGTCAGAATAACGATTACTGTTGCTCCCAGATTCACTGGTCATTGCGTGCAGATTTGTGTGTTTAGCGCCAATCTGTTTGTTAGTGGCAGGAGCACAAGACGGGAATTTTTTTCTGGGGGTCCGCTGGGGACCCCTAGCAGAATGGTCCACTTCATGCGCCTCCCTGCTTAAGTTGTCATTCACACGACTAGCCGAACACGTATACGGCATCTCGTTATTAACTAAATTTAGCACATCCTCTGTTGTCATGTACGTTGATAATGGATTATAATATGCACCATCCACTACTGGGTTAAGTACGTCTTCAGTGTCTTGGGTCTGCATTTGATATTCACTTTCCTCATAGCATGCAGTCAAGGTCGCATCATAGTTCGCACCTGTAGTTTGACCGGCTGCACTCTCACTATCAGAGTGATCATCAATCACTTCAAGTTTCACTGCGACAGGTGGAACTTCTCCTTCTTCAGTAGAACACGTGTTCTCAACTGTGGGATGATGTAACAATGTTGCCGCTTTATAGTCGATGTCAACTCTTTCCACGACATGAGCTTCTGCTTTAGGTAATGAATTGAAGTCTGTAGCTACGTTGCTAACAATGTCAGTTTCTGTGTTCTCTTCCGGGTCATGTCCTTGACACACCAGTACTTTACAGTGAACTCTCTCGGCATGATTGAGAAATGCTGATCGATCGAAAAAGCATTCGCAACATGAAGTGCACCTATAGTACATCACCACATCACTAGATGGAGCCATTATATACTTATAAAGCCAATTTGGTGGCAGTATATAAACAATGAGATTGCAGGATACAATCCATATGATAATCAATGCTAGTACTATCACTGATCAGTCGATGGGTCCATGAGCCTGCCTCGAGTATATGACCCTACAACAGAAACACAGCAAGCTCTTGTTAAAATGAAACAAACCCGAGTAATAGTGATATCACTGAAGTACATTAACCACATATACAATATAATATGCTATCAGTATACAGTGTATATTGTTGAAAATTTAAACAGTGTATAATAATATAGTTTTTTGTGAAAAACAACTATTAATAAATTCTATACCTGAAAGCTAAAGTAAAATATAAATGTTTGTAAGGTTTGATATCTAATAATATAATGGTTGTTTCAAGACAAAGGGTACATCTTACACACTTGCCCACGTCACATTTCACAATTTAGTCAAAACATGACAACTAATCACAGTATTTTAACAAAGCAACATTTTTTAATAGTTTCCACAAAAAACGGTTAAATAAAGGGTCAAAGAGATGCAGCATATTTCTCATTACGACTAATCTAAAGGGTCACTGCAGAATAGGATTTACAAAATTCAACACAAATCTAGTAGCTTAGTATAGAATCTACAATGCATGTGCATGTCACAAATGCACTGTGCCACAGGCTGTCATTTGTAGCATCCCATCTTCTCCCAATACACCTACACGTGAGCTACAGAATGCCATCTTGTAATGTCCTCACGCTTGCTGTAGCATAAACTTCTCGTGTTTACATCGTTCGTGTCTTCTTAGATTGCTAGACTGGTTGAAAGTGGTACCGCACACTGAGCACACATACGGCCGCTCTCCTGTGTGAGTTCTCATGTGTGCCATCAGCCCCGAGTGCTGCGGAAATGCCGAAAGGCATAGTGAACATTTGTGCGGCTTCTCTCCCGTGTGCACTCGCAGGTGCAACACTAGGCACTCCTTGCGCTTAAAAACTTTCTGACATATAGAGCATTTGAATACTCCTGTCTTGACAAGTCTGGAGACTTTAGATTGGTTCAACATTTCAAATCCACCCATAGCACTAGACTTGATAAAAGCATTGCTTCTTCCGAGATCAGATGAGCCGACTCCTAATTCCCTTGATGAACCTGGTTTGATCTGTGAGCCTAGGCATGCTGCATTCTTTGGGAGAATATGGCGAGGTAGTACAGCATTCGCTCCATTGTTTCTTGGAGAAGAATATCTACTAGTCGCTAAATGATAACCGTGTTGTGCTGGATCTAGGAAAGAATTTGAAGCAAGAACACGTGTAGTTGTAGTTGTAGTTGTCAGTTCTCCTGCAGTGCTGTTGACACTTGCTAATAAACGAGTAGCTGCTGAATTAAATGAAGGATTACATGAAGCAGTGTCCCCCATGTTATAACTGTCACTAAGAACGCGACAAGACCTGCTGACAAGGTTATTGCACTGAGAGTTCACATCTGTCGTCGCTGCACTGCTATCCATCTCTCCCACACTTGCATTATACAAGTGATCGTCAGTTACTTCAAGTTTAATAGTGGCGGGTGAATCTTCTTCTCCTCCTACTCCTCCTGCTCTTCCTTCTTTGCTGCCTCCTGCAGGACAACTTCTCTCTGCTAAACTATTACGTAACAATGCTGAAGCTTTATAGCTGATGTTCGTTCGCTCCGCAAAATTAGCTTCTGCTTTTGGTAGAACTGTCTGTGTTTCAGTAGATACACCATCAATCACAGAAGTCTCAGTGTTCTCCTCGGGGTCATGACCTTGACACACCAGTACTTTACAGTGAACTCTCTCGGCATGATTGAAGAACTCCAACCGTGAGAAAAAGCATTCACAACATGAAGTGCACCTGTAGTACATTAACGTCTCACTAGATGGAGTCATTGTCAGAACTACTCCGGATACTGGTTATATTTTATATCAGGTGGTTCGTCTGGTTCGTGTAGTTTTGCCTTTAGATATACGCATGCCTAAAACATAAACACATTGTAAAAAGCTTTAGTTCCTTTTTAGTTTCACAAATTCAGGGCTTGAACCAGTAATTCATTTATATCTAGACTGTTATATAGTAATATGTTTAATACTGGTAATACCCACCACAGATGGAGCCACAGTCTGCAGTATTATTCCAACCATGTTTGAACTGTACATACGTGAAAGCTAATAATGCAAATTAACATAAACATTTTATTCTCAACTATTATTAAATATGTATGAGGATCTAATACTTGACAGGGCTATTGCTAGTTCTTGCCACTCTTAGAAATTGTCATAAATTAACAACAGTGTCAATTTTACTACATTAACTGGTGAATAATATCAATGACCGATTTTAAACTGTATAAATACTTACTTGTAATTGAATAAAGAGCCACTTACTGCAGTTCCATGCAAATAATAACCAATTCTGTAACCTAATCTTTCAATCTAAGTACTGCATATACATTTGTTACATGGACAACCCCGTCAAAACCATGACATTTTAGATCATATAATAAGGTGGGTATTGGCTATAGTTTTTTATTGGTAGCTTAAAAAAACAACCTTACTGGTTCAAGTGTCCATTTAAAGTATAAAATAGTAAATACCCAGAAAGGGCATTGCTTCATACTACATACATGGTAGCATAAAACCAACGTGCATACTGTAAGGTATGTACATACAAACAACAACTATACACATTTCATACAAATATGGACAAACAGTGTCATTTATCTAGTATCAGGAGTTAAATGACAAAGGAGTAAGACACCTCTTTGGTACCGATTTCACTACATTTTTGGCGTACGAGTTCGATGTGAATATAAATACAAATGTATACAAACATGAGCTTCTTTTGTTCACTGGTCCTTATTCTATCTTCCGGTAGTATTACAAACCGCGTAGTTTCCTTAGTTTTGACATAAATCGTACTTTTGCATGACATGGTTTTCACGTAATTTACCACCCTGTGGCAATGCCAAGCTGTAAATTCGCACACACCGGCTGACACAGCTACTTGAAGGAGGCACGAAAGGGATCGTCTCAGGCAGCGCCAGCGGAAACTGTACGCGGGCTATAGTTACTAGAGCTAACGGTTGCTATGCAAAACACATGTGCGAAAAGCTACAATCGGCTGGAGCGTCAGTTTACTCATAACGATTCATACACATCATTCCTCCGCGGGCGAAGTAGTTCAGATATTTTACCAGCACAGCGTTTATTTAAAAAAACTGCGAGATTCAACCATAAAAACAAGGCATTCTAACTATAGTTGAAATGTAAAATAGTTTTAATTTTTAAACCCAGCATGGGTGCAACGTAACTTAATTTCTAGGCACATTTTCTGCACTCAACTAGGCTACGGCCGAAAAGCCCTGGTGCGCCTCCTTCAAGTAGCTGTGTGCACGAATTTACAGCTTGGCATCGCCGCAGGGTGGTAAATTACGTGAAAACCATGTCGTGCAAAAGTACGATTTATGTCAAAAACTAAGGAAGCTACGCGGTTTGTAATACTACCGGAAGATATAATAAGGACCAGTGAACAAAAGAAGCTCATGTTTGTATACATTTGTATTTTTATTCACATCGAAAATGTAGTGAAATCAGTACCAAAGAGGTGTCTTACTCCTTTGTCATTATTAACTCCTGCTAGTATGTTGAGGAAAATGACATGAAACCTAGATGTATTGCATTACGAAAAGATTTTTTTCTAAGTGTGAGGTCCAAGTACATTTACAAACACCTGCTGTTGTCCTGTATAACATTTTGCTTGGATGGATTCATGTAATCTGTTCTTGCCAA